GCAGTGTTATGCATATATGATTTTATGCAGGGTAGTAAAATCAGCATTTTTTAATAAGTTTTTAAACTACCACTCTCTCCCATTACACCCAGAGTCCCAACACAAAGACTTGATTTGCTTGTCTATTCTTGGGCGAATGAAGCAGTTGGCTTTAGCTTTTCTCTCAGGTCCTCACTTAAACTGTCTGGTTTTGGCTTACGCTATTATTGTCTACAGCTGAAGAAATAATTGTTTAAAGCCTCTTGCTCTTGATAAGAATCTTACTAGATTCCATTTATTCCCTATGGAGGAAAACGGTTAACAAGGTGTCCCCTGTTTTCAACGAGGGCAGAAAGCAAAGTGGCCCTGCCCCAACTGTATTAATTGAACAATCTTTCCTACTAAGTCTGAGTATTACGAAATAGAATTGAGAGTGTTTTGTTTTTCTGCCCGCTTCCACCTACCCTTGGAAGAAACATGAGCATAAAATTCAAGGTCAGTTCAAGGCACTACAGATATGCATACGAAAGGAGAAAAATGGACTCCACGGAATCTAAAACCTCACTTCTGTCTCTTAATGAAGTATAGCAAAAACAATGACAACCAAAACCGTCTCAGTAATCACACCTTATGCTGGAATCGAGAATGTGCCCTTTGTTTGTTGGTCAGGATTAATTCAGAATAGAATGTCTAGTTGAATTGCATTGAGCGAAAATGATCCCATGAAAAAAGAAAAATCACTTTCCTTTCAATACCACACAGAATGAGAGGTCAGACTCCCAAGGGATCCATTTGCCAGATAAACACACTAAATTGGAAGGTAGATGCACTTTTCAGCCTGATGGTGGAACCCACCTGTCACTTGTGAATTAGCACATTCTGCTTCAGGGTTTCCAAGTGAAGTTCTGTAATACACATTTCAATGTGGAAAATTTAGCAAGATTACAGTGGCCTTTGCCTATGGAATGGCTTTATTGGCTTGTAAACTAAACTTGGGAGGGGAGGCATGCTTAATAGCTAGGTTAGGTATCTTCTGTTTTAAAAAAGAATAAAATTGCCTGAATAAAGCTGGAGGAAAGGGTAGGATGGAAACTAATTAAATGTTTACAATTTATGTTAGGGCTCTAACATATGTGAACTGAAACAAAAGTAGAACACAATCAAAACCACCTTATAACAAGGTTTATTCTCATATATTCTATTCAAGGGATGAGGCGATGGTGGTGGGGCGTTCGTTACCCCATAGCGACGATGTGGGGTCTCACCTAAGGCACCAGATCACAATGGTGTTCACAACAGTCACGAGAGGCATCCCAAGTCACTGTAACTAATGTAGCCTGAAGCTTCACATGCAACTCACATTAAAAATAAATTTAGTTGCCTGAAAGCAATTTCTGTAATAGCATCATTCCCACTTGTCTGCATTTCTATCTATGTCTTCTTGGGTGGGAGGCAAATGGTGGAGTTAACAGGAAGCCTGCAAAGAGGTATGGCCACTAAGAATACCTATCACTTTCATTATATGTACAGGAGAAGGCTTCACAAGGAAAGATGCAGGAAAACATTTTGAACTCCTATCCCAGGAGCCTCGGGATGAATTGTCAAGCTGTAGCAACTCCCCTATTATGGCACAACCCTAGAGAGAAAGGGGCGGCGGGGGAGGGAGGTATTATTGTTTTATCCCTTCAGATGACTGTTTGCTTCCATAACCCCACAGGATGAGTTCCTAGAAGGAAGGGAGCTACCCTGAGGACAGCTTTTACAGGTGCTTGTGACACCCTTTCATTCCATTGCCCGCCCCTCCCCAAGTCCTCAGGTAAATACTGTTTGATTCACCCTAGAGTTAAAATTAGTCTCTTGGATAGCAACAGCCAGATTTCTCCTCCATTTAACTTCTTACAACAGGTAAAGGTCTTTTTGTCTTCATCAAAAAACTCTGAAGTCACTTTAGAAAAAGTCAGGCATGTCTGAGAGCAGGAGAAACTGCAGCCCACAGGCAGGCGAGGAATTCTACCTTCCCTTGAGCCAAAATCCAGGAGTCAAAGGAAACCCACAATCAAAACCAAGTAGGCCTGTCCCCAGCTCTCCAACTAACCTTTATGAAATACTCACGTCAGGGAGAGACCCAGCCCCGCTCCCTCCTTCAATATTGCCCAGTGGCATTGAGATGAAGTATGAGCCACTAGTAACAAACACACCCAAGAAATAAATTCTTAATGCCCAAGGGCAGCAGACAAAAGGGCCCCAGGCACCAAAAGGGAGAAGCAGCAGCCAACAGTACCATAAAGAACTCCTGACAGATTCTGAACTCTTTAAAAGTTAAGAATAAATCTCACAGATCACTGAGAATATTTTTCCTCCCCACAGTCCCCCTATGGGACTACTTTAGAATATGGAAGATTATCCAGTACTCTGATGAGACCTAAACAGCTTCTGTAGAAGGGACAGGGATATTTCTAGCACAAGCCATGCCGCCCAGAGCATAAACTTCTGTTAGCCAAATGAGTGTCCCTAAATGGCTGAGGCTACTATGGAAACTGGCCAGGAAACAGGACTGCTATCCTGACCGAGCAGGAGGCAATAAGACTGACACATTGATTAAACTATGCCACTAGACTATGTATCCATGAATGTGACCTACGACCACGGTTACTGTACAAAGCTGGGATTGGCCCTTCTTACTGCCAACAGGAACATCAAAAGTGTCACATGTGAAGCTATTAATTTTTCAAAGTGACGAATCAATTTGAAAACTGACAGGCTCGATTCAGCTCACAAACACTTCATTTTTCAGCAAGAAAGCAGCTGGATGAGCTTTGGTTTGAGTCCACCATCAGCAATTTAAAAAGACAGAGTAAAAAATGGCAGCTAGTACTTCTATAGGCTTTCTGGGGTGGGATATAACAGACTATCAAAGTTGAGTTGGGAGAAGTCTTCCAGGGGAACAGACAACAAGAGAAATGACCCTCTCCAGGCCTCCAGTAGCTATTCTACTGATGGTGGGCAGCTGAATGCAAAAGCTTCAATATTTAGCATCAAAAGGTCTACCTGAGAGGTTCTGGAGGAGTTAAGGAAGCTCAAGTACATTGGGGTTGAAACGATTCTCCCAACGTACCCTTTTAGTCAGATACAAGCTGCAAGATTTTGCCACTCAGGCCTCAACTCTTATCTTTAGACATGAAACCAAAGTCTCACTTTTTAACAGTAAACCTCACTGGTTGTCAGATAAAACAAGGATATAAGAAATATGCTGCCAGCAACAAAATCAGCTCTGCCCAAGTATCCCCAGATGGCAACTACAAACTACCTTAGCAAAAAATAAGTAATCATTTAATTTCTTAGCACCAAATAATAATGCCTTGGGTAGTAAAAATAGTTGGAGAAGGGAGATACCAGACTTAAAAGTGTTCTCCAAATAACAAAAGCTCGCCTCTGAAAGTGTTGAGACATGTTTTCATCATTTTATTCATAGAGAAGCATCTTGGATACATTCCATAGAGTTACAAGTCAAGGCTACAAAACAGACTTTATGTAGTAAAATGACAGCCTTCCTGAGAGCAAGATAAATACGAATACTGCAATAACCAAAATATGCAAATTAGTTCTCTAATGGACCCAGGAAAGAGTCTGAAACCAAGTGAACTAAGACAGGAAGTAGCCTCTGCCTCAGGCCGATTGGCCCCCAGTGATGTGATGTTCTAGGCAGCATTTCCCTTCTTGCTTCTCATGGCCTTCTCTCTTTTCAGCTGTTACTTCTCTCCCACACTACTCTTGCACCATTTTCGTGGTTTCTCTCTCTGTTCTCCAGCTGTTTTTCTTCCTCTCTTCTGGCTCACATTTCTGATACTGCTCTGTCACTTCTGGGGTGAGGCCAGGCACTGCTCTTATTTAAAAAATGGTACAAACTCCTGACTGGCAGATCAGTTACATGTCTTCTAAACTGCAGTACTTATGGCAGGTTTCACTTCTGTTCCGTCCTTGGGCTCTTTCTCGTTACCTTTGAGTTTGTAGGTATCCTGGAAAGTTGAGAATGCTAGATGTCTGATTTCTGGGGGAATTACTGAAGCAAACTTTCTGTAGATTTTAGTATGCTGAACATGGACGTTAGATGGCAATGCACACGCACACGCGTGCACACACACACACGTATACATGCACACCTCCAATCAACCTACAATCTACAGACAACATTAAGAAAGTTGAGGCATTCTCTCTTTTCCAGTTTATATTAGTATCTGAAATATTTGCATCCCTAGTCTGAGCTGGGATGTGCAAGACATATTTAGAGCTTGCTCAGCATGGCATTTTCCATCATGTTCTATAAATGGCATGTTGGTAAATGAGCCGTAAAGAAAGAAAAAAGAAAATGTTACTGCTTCTCCTTTATTGGTACATAATGGCAATGTGTAAAATGAAAAGCAGGGAGATGAGGGAGGCAGGCAAATCTCTGATTGCTGGAGAGCCAGATGTGCCTGGGTGTCATGGAACCAGAAAGAAGAACTGTGGCAACTGCTGAGTTGCTGCGACGAGAATCAAGTTTTAAAGCTGCTTTACTCCACCACAGAAGATAAGATGCCGGTTCTTAAAATGCCTAAACACACTGCTTTCACTTCCTACCTGTCACGGATGCTGTTTTATAGTTGGGGGAGTGGGGCGGGTGGCTTTTCACACAATTAAAAATGACAGGGCCATGGAGGAGAGATCTACTTCTAAGAAGAGCTATAAGTGGCAGACCCCAGATTATCTGAAAAAAATGAATCCAAAAATGTAAAAACATAAAGCATGCCCAGAAATGTGAGCTCTCTCAAAGATGAAAGAGATGAAAACATTCAAACAATAGAAAAACTAGCCATATGTATCCAAAAAACAAACAAACAAACAAAAAACCCCGAGAAATAAGATTAGCAAGTAGTTGGCAACTTAGAAAAGCCATAAACTCCCTCAGTTCTCCCGTCTCTACACCACAGTGATGTGGGTATCTATGATGCGGTCCAGATGGATGTGCCTGTCTGAGTCCTTACCTCATTGTGGTCACCAGTTGGGATGTGTGAAGGCCGTGCTTCTTCATCTAGTGGCTCGATCACTGTCACCTCTGCAAACTCCTCCACGGATTCTTGAAACTCAGGTAAGGACCTTCGTCCATAACGCTTCCCACCTCTAACATATTTGGGCTGAGCTTCGAGTGAGCAGTCTGCGCAAAGAGACAAGAGTTGAGGCCACATTACATGACGATCTCAGCCCCTGGCTGACACTCACAGCCGTCAGACACAGCCTCTTATACCAGCCCCAAAATAAACCGTCACCATTTGCCAGTTGTGGTGGACGTGGGCGTATGTGAGCCACCAGGTCAGATGCAGAGCACAGCTTCTAATCCTGAATGATTTACAACACTCCGAGTGTATCTCTATACATGAGGGGAGAGAGTCAATGCCATCAGGGAGGGATTTGACTTAAAAGCACAGAATTAAGAACAGGACAAAGCAAGGGGTCTTATTTATTCTTCTGTTTTTCAAGCTAGTGTGTTGCAGAGAAAGGGAAAGGATGCCATCATATAACAAAGAGACACACTGGAGGAAGTCTTAGAAAATCATGATAAAACAAACACCGTATCAGCACTGTAAAGTTAGTGTTCACAGCAATTAGTTGGAAACACACCCCTCGTACCTCAGTGACTCCTTTGTTAACCATCCCACTTTCTGATCTATCAGATAAACAGGATGACAGAACAAAGAAACTGACACCGCGGATCCTAATCGATTAACGACAGCTCATCGCTTATATGCGACGTGGCATCAGGAGCTCATTATAAAATTAAAAGCTGTGGAATAAAATAGCCAATGCAAAACTGCATTAAGAAAAATGGTATGTTATGTTTTTTTCTACTTCATGAGCTTCAGTGCTGTACAAAATAAAAAGAATTGTGCATACGGAGAGTCATCCCTTGACCTTAAAGGACTTCAGCATTCTGACATAACATGTCGCAGGGTCGATGCTGACCACCTCCACCACCACCATTGTTTCCACCACCACTCCCACCACAATCACCACTACCACTAACCCGTCTACAACGGATAGCTTTAAAGCAATAAAATAAATACTTCACTCTATGCAAATGTCATCATGGATACAGATTTTTTTGTTAGCACCTTGCACAGAATTAGGAGAATAAAATATTCTATTAACAGGCAAAAGGCCAGCAACACTTTGAGTCTTATCATCCACACAGACACAATGTCTCTCTGGAGAACATAATATGTGTGCTGTTTGAACACAATCCTAACAAGATACGTCTGAACTTAGACACATAGATTTTTAGGTGAGGTAGGCACACATACCAACAAAATGAGGGTGGTTGATTAGATAAGAACTAAAAGGACAAAATCCTTGCTTTATCATCACTGAAACCATGTTACTTTGTAGTTTTCCTGGGACGACAGTGACATACTTTGCCTCTCCTCGTCCCATTGCCCTTCCTCTGGTATAAGCTCAGATTTCACAGATGTGGTCAGAAGCATCCTGAAAATGCTCAGCAAAGCTCGGAGTGAAGTATTTATGCTTGCTCTATAATTTCTAGCGATATTTATAACCAGCTTTTTAAAAGTCCCAGCCAAATCATTGTATTAGGTCGAGCGATTCTCTTATAGGAAATATTTAAGCATACAAAATTTATAGTGAAAATTACATGCATATTTGAAGGTACCTTTTATCAGAAGAGAGTGTGTCAGCTTGTGAGTATTCAGGAGTGGCCCAGACACCCGAGCTACTTGTTGGCAGCTGACACCCACAGATGCTAGTCAGATAAGAGGCAATGCAGAACCATCCTTAATTTATGACATATTCTTACATTTTACCAGCAGACAACAAGATACACCATTAATGATGATGGGGGCTTGGAAAAGACTAAAAGGAAAATTTACAACATCAGAAAACAGAACATGGGATTTTCCCAGTATGAGAACACAGTCGTGGTCTGGAGAGGGAAGTGGCAGAGGAGGTCTTGATGCACGCTGCGCTTTTTCAGAGGAAAAGAAGTAGTGGAACAGAGTGACCACCTTAAAAATTTCACTGTGATTTAATCCAAAACCCACCTGTGGATGAAATGTTCCCTAGCTATTTATCACTAAATACCCCATGCCATGTAGGGAATAGTGGTGGATTTGAAACAGCTCTTTTTCTAAGCAATGGGAGGTAATAGACTGTGAACCATCAGGGACCCTGCGGGGTTCCTGTTGATTTATTTACTTGCTTATTTTTGCATTGCCAAGAACTTAGAAATTTTTGAATTACATTTTATTATAACTAATTTTGAACAAACTTTTAAGTGAACACCTTTCCCAGAATGTACATATATCGCAAATTAAATTTCTAGAGAAATTTATTAAACCGTATCATCTTTTTGGAATAAAGATATTAGCACACACAAAGGGCAAATGGGTATTCAGGTTTCCTCATATTCAATTTCCCAAATCGTCCATGTGACCAGTAAAGAATTAGACTAATCACACCAATTAAAAACAGTTAACTTCTTTGACTTACACACTCACATGTCCCTCTCCTATTTGGAACATCAGCATCATTGTAATTACATAACAAGGAAAAAAAAAAAGACAGCAAAAGTAAAGAGGTCCAGAGAGAACAAACATAGTCAACAGCCATTGCTATGTTTAGTATCTGAAAACTGCGATTCTCCTTGTCATTCTCAACCAGGCCTTTAGAAGTCCACAGCAGCAGTCCACTAAGCTGGAGGCCTCGGTGGGAATTTTAAGACTCTTACACATCCAAATTAAAGAATGCCAGACCCCTTCCCTTACCATGCTGAACGAACACTTGCAAAACCGCAGCCGAGGCAGTTTACTTTACGAGAGCATCCAGATGTAAGTTACATATTTCGGGGTTTCATACTGGAACAATCTGATCTGTGCTAGATAATACGGAGTCATTTGATTAAGAAATAAAATAACTTACATCATATAGCTTTCTATAACGTAAGTCACTGCTCTAATCATGAGTTCCAAGGAGAGATGTGAAATGCCAGAGAAACAAACAAAATATGAAGGACTGCTGTGCTTTTAGTGTTTTATTTCCTTGAACATATATTTATGATTCTGCCTGGGTTGTCAAGCTTCTGGGTTATTTTATCTTCTTTCCCATTTTCTGTTTCTCCTATCTGTCATCACTACATAAAAATAAAAATGGGCTTTGAAGGAAATCAGACAAGACTCCCGCTTAGAGAAATCTTGGACCCCATTTCTGGAGAGCTAATTATGGGGTATACCAATCATACCAAGGTGGTTTAGAAGCAGCTCTACCTGATCTAGTTTGGATGATCTATGCTTTAGTCCATAAACCAAAAGCTTGGTTTGATTCAATTTTCTAAAGACTGCTAGAGTAATACAGAAGCAAATAACAGTCTCTATAGAGCCAATAGTCAAAAAAAAAAAGAGAAAAATCTAATCAAAGTTCAAAGGACAAAAACAAAACAAAACAAAACAAATTTCCTTTCAGCCTTAGAAATTAAACAAAATCTGGATGCTCAGATACCATATTCTTTATTCCATATCTTATCTGTCCCAAGAAGAGGAACTCCAGACCTGTAACAATGCTCACCTTCCAGAATCAGGACAAACCAACATGCATAGGTAAGAATCATGACCGGAAGGCCTTACAGTTACAATGAAAGGAAAACTGAAATGCAGTGTCAGTGAGAATGACCACTAAGGGGATAAGCCGGCTGCAGACAAGGAAAACAATGGACCTGCACCTTCTCCATCCCTCTCCCAACTCCCTTCATTCCCGGGCTCTAACTGGGCATAATAAGTAAGTCTCTCCTAGGACTGTTGGCAGCCACCAGTGTGATGCAGATTGCCACTTGGAACATTGAGCTCTCCTGATGGCCACAGACAAAGCAATGAGGACCCAAGAGGAAGCTGAAATAGTTACCTGAACACCTAAATACTATTTATTCAATCAATGCTGTCTTTGCAAAAATATAAGCTTAGACCGGGAGGGAAGTAGTATCCACAGCATCTACGTGGGAAGTTAAAGGAGAGTTTCAAATGTGCACTCCAGTATTAGGCCGATTCACTTAACTCACATATAATGAACACCTGTCATTATGCTATACCTGCTAAGGAATAACGAATATTTTATCATTTTTTGAATCAAATTTCCCAGTTCCTAAAGATGACCTGAGGATATTTCCATGATGAAGAAGAAAGCCCTGCCTTTATGGTTCTGATATCCTTATTCTGGAATTGCTCATGCAAAGCCTTGTTTCCTGCTTCCCTTCCTACTCCATTTAGTCAGCCTGGAAAATTCCCTGGACAGCATCCCCTTCCAAAGGACCTCAGCACAGGGGTACCGCCAATCTGAGGCTCTCCAAACTACAGTTCTGCTGAGCTCACAAGATTCCCAAAATCCATCTGAAAATAAGACAGAGTCGAAAATGAAACACGTGCAAATCTCATGACAAGAACCTCATTAACTTCCCTAGGGAAAGGCAGCCAGGCAGCAAGCAAGCACCACCAGCCCACCGCTTATCCCCACGTCCCTGCCTACTCTGACGGTGCCCTTACACAGGATTACACGGCAAGAGCACAAACTCGCCTGATTCTCCAGAAGAGAAAAGAGAGAGAAAGAATCAAAGGGGAGATCAAGACTGAGAGGGAGGGAGAGGCTGGGGGGAGGGGAGAGACAACAAGAGAGAGAAGGAGGGTGGGGAACAGAAGATGGGCACAGACCCAGAGGTCTGTGGAGGGGGACCAGGAGGAACAGATTTGGTGAGGGGACCAAGAGGTAAGGAAGAGTGTGAGGTGGGAGCAAGGAGGAGAGAGGAGTATAAAGGTGAGTTGGAGTGGTGGAAAGAAGAAAGGGGTGAGGAGAGGGATGTCCCAAGGAGGGGAGGAGAGAAGAGAGGCCAAGAGAGAATGAACAACATAAAAAAGACCTCAGGAAAGCCTTCCAACGTGATCGGCCATTCCTCTGCCCCCCAGTATGCTCCCTGCCTCTGCGGGAGGTGTCAGCAGGTATGGTCATCACCCCACACTCGCATGCACACAGCCCTTCCAAGGCAGCTGCTTCTGGGGTGAAGTCACATTGCTCCCAACTACTCCTCTCTCCTGATACATGTGTTCAATTGGAGCTTTAAGGTCCTCTCTGGATGCAATGACAGAATTTTAGTTGTCTCTACTTCAGCTCCTACCAGTCTGAATGATGCATCTTGATGAAACACAGTGGCTTCTGAACACAAAGGTACTGGGGGTGGCTCAGAATAGCCTAACCTGGGAGGGAGTTTTCAGGGGAAGGTTAGCACCCTAAGGAAGGCAACACTCAGAGCTGATTGGTCTGACTCCAGTCTGTCTAAGCCCTAAGGCAGCTGAAGATCAGTCAAAAGGAAAAACTCTTTGAGTTGATAATAACACGATTGCTTCTCTAGCCTGCTCCTGGGAGGAGCCAGCGCACCAGGGAGAGGCACCCACATGGTGCCCCAGCAGAACAAAGTCAGGTTAGCACCCTAAGGAAGGCAACACTCAGAGCTGATTGGTCTGACTCCAGTCTGTCTAAGCCCTAAGGCAGCTGAAGATCAGTCAAAAGGAAAAACTCTTTGAGTTGATAATAACACGATTGCTTCTCTAGCCTGCTCCTGGGAGGAGCCAGCGCACCAGGGAGAGGCACCCACATGGGGCCCCAGCGGAACGAAGCCAGAGAGTCTCACAGCACTCAAACCCACAGCAAATTTCTTCAACCTCATTCTTTGCGGTGGGTAAGGTGAGTGGCAAACACACACACACAATGACGTTATCCAGTCTCTCATCTCAGAAACCAGAGCCGCCTCCATCTCATTCTTGCCCTCATTCCCTTTTCCTTGTTATCTCCTTTCCCTTCAGCAACAGGCTGAAGTAAGAGGGACATATCAATTCTCTAACACTCCCTGTGGAAAATGATCAACTTCACAGCCTGTTTGGAAATCTTCTCATACATTGCAGTTGAAATAAACGTACGACATCCGAACCCACGAGTGAACTGTTTCATTATCAAAATTCTCACTAGTCTTATTTAATTTTCAATAACATGAGTATTTTTTCTGCACATAATACATTTTTAAAGACTGCCTTTTCATCCTTAGTAAAATCCTCATAAGTATTCTTCTATAGCACAGTTTAATAGCTGCTTAACCTTTGATTTCAGATATATCATAATTTGCCTAACCAATACATTGCCAAATACTTATGCTTGATATATTTTATTTATTTGTTTGTTTATTTATTCATTCATTCATTCATTCATTCATTCAATGGCGAGGCAACCCTTGGTTGACCTCACAGATTGCAAGGACTTTGTCAGCTTACAATCCCTTATTTTTTTATTTTTCACACCTGCAGCACATGGTCTGCCTAGGTGGTCTCTCCCATCCAAGTACTAACCAGGCCCGACCCTGCTTAGCTTCCGAGATCTATTTTCATATTTTAAATGACTATTCTTATACACACATCTTCGTGCACATCCATAATTATTTCTATAGCATAAAATCTGAGTGGCATTGATTACCCAAAGGCATTTTTATAGTTTTTGGTGACTACTGTTTTTATGTCATTCCAGAAAGGTCCTACCATGTTACTTAACCACCAGTGGGTATGAGTGTTTTCAATTCCCTTTGAATTCCTGCACTGACTCCTCACATCCTCTTTTGTTGGTAGTGGTGATAGTAGTAGTAGTTTTACTTTGCTTTTAGAGAGAAAAATTCTGCTCCTCACTGTCAACATCTCATAGATACCAAGGGATTAGGAGACTAAGTTCTTATCTTACTAAACCAAAGACAGAACAATGGAACACGCCCGTTGGGCCATCTGTGTATAATAACTCCTAAAAACAGGAGTGCCTGGCCTAAGACCTCTGAAGATGCAAACACCCGTCTTCAATTACTGCAATTCAGGATTTAGCCCAATGCCTGACCATAGAAACCGCTTCAATGCACATCTCTTGAATGAATGAAAAGGTAGTTACCTGTTTATTATATTTATAGCTGCCTCAAAATATAAAAAAAATAATTAAAATTAGGGTGCTTCCGGGGTGGCTCCATAGTGTAGTGGTTAGCATGTCTGCTTTATATGCAGAAGGTCCTGGGTTCACGCCCCAGGTGGAGCCACGGACCATACCCTGGGTGTGCCAGGCCCCGGGTGCGCCAGGCCCTGGGAGCACACTGCCAGTGTGTGGGAGGAGATGCCCTGCCTTCAGAGATCCAGTTCTTAAGGAGAAACAGCAATATCCATAGGTCAGGGGTGGAAGCCGGGAGGGGGAATTAAAGAGAAGAGAAAAAATTAGGGTGGTTCCTGGAGTTAGGAATGCTTATTACAAAAAGAAAAACCTCTAATTATCTGCACCAAAAACCATGCCTAGTCTTATTTTTCTAATGATTTGGCTTTTGCAAACCTGAGTCTTCCCTCACCAGATTAACAAAGGAAAGATAGTCCACATTAACTATATCAGGAAAAGAAAGGGCTACCTGCATTATGCTAGCATTGACTATAGAACAGAAATCTAATGCCAGATGCATCAAACGAGGACAAAATCTCTGGAGAGCAGATCCAAACGGCATGTGGATGCCACGTAGCTTAGAGCATGTGCCAGCATTTCCATTACAAAAATCCTATCATCCAAAGCTGTAGCAAATTGAATAAATGACTAATAATTAAGTTGTCCCTCATTTATTCCAGGAAAACAATTTAAAAATTAAATTGTACATGTAGATATGAAGGAGTTATGCCACTGGCAATATTAATCAGGTTGGAATTTACAAAGGATTTCTCTACAACCCAAATCCATTTTTCGGACCTTACATGAATTTCAGGGTTTCTCATTGTATTGTTATTATTGTTGTTATTTTTGCTTTTTAAAGAAAACACTCACCTAAGATTTAGAATCATAAATATCAGAGATAAAAAGATGCTGAAAACAATCTAGTCCATACTCTCTAATTTTAAAAATAAAGAAACTTTACCTCAGAGAAATTATAAATGGTAGAACCTAAGACTATGGAAATGAGTTAATTTGATCTCCTCTCAAATCCTATTATAGCTTTGTCTTTGTATTTTTTATATATAACTGCCTTTTATTAGGGGACTATGAGAGCATGTCATATATACTGTGCATGTGTCTCTAGGAAGCAAAACTTTGGTGTCAATTTATGTTAGGTAAGATTTTACAGAAAAGCCAAGTTTTTTCATAAAATTAGATAATGTCATTTAGATATTAGGAGACATCACAATGAAATCTTGGAGCTGAACGGATTTTAAGTATTTTCCAGTACAACCACTTTTACATACGAGGTGATCAAAGACCACAGAGGTTATGACATATACAGCCACCCAATTAGAAGGGCAGAGACAGATTTCCTAACTCCTGGCTCAAGGCTCTTTCTACCACAACAAGTTGGCTTTTCTATATTATGGTCTGGTACAGCACCTGGTATTTTAAATGTATAAAAATCTCAGATGTTATAAAACATCAGTTCATGACCCATTCAGTTTCTAAGGCTATGCCCTATGGCCCGCCTATGTTTTCAGTCACCTTCCATAATTTATAGGTAATCTTCTCTCTCAAAGTCTAGTAGGTCCACTGATTTCAAAAGGCAAGACAGAAATACTACAGCCCTGGCCCCTTACGGTAGAAGATGAATTAAGTGTTAAACAGCCAAATAATGCTGAGGACACAGGCCTGTCACTAATGATCACATGAAACTTATTCTTATTCACTCCTTCCTGCTGCCTCTAGCCACTTGTCGGCATCTTTCTGGCCAGGCTGCACTGACTGAGGACTGGGTTGCCCCTAGCTCATCCATCTGAAGGCTAACAATCTTATACTACAGGCTCCTTGCGTCGCATCCCTTGGTGATACAGCATCCGCATCCTCCTCTGCCACTATCCGTGAGACTTCAAGTAAGTTATGTCCCTCTTCAGGCCTCAGTTTGCTCATGGATAAAATGGCAGAGTTCTCTCCAGCCTGACAATGATATGGTCTATGACTTAAGGGATAGTCATTTTCATAAAGGGGAAGGAGAAAATAAACTCAGGTGGCCTCTTGATATACTACATTTGAATCCTGACCCTTCTTTCTCTGTCTCTTGCCAGCCAAGCCAGTCAGCCTGTGCAAGTGGAGTCACATTTTAGAGTGGGTGGGGAATATCCGAGTACAAAGAACTGCATGATCCCCAGATATAACTGAAAGGGCCAGACAGAGATGGGAAAAAGACAGAAAAAGCAGAGAAGGTCAGGAACAAAGAAGGGAATGTGGGAGGAAAGGCTGACTCACTGCCTCCTATTAGATAAAACACTTAAGGCACAGGCTCAATCCTAGATTTTATCCTGCCAGACCAAACATCAGAGACGTGACATAAATGCAGGATGAAATGCTACGATAAGTATGTTGCTGCTTCACTACACAGATTTAGGGCAGCTCTATAACAAAGGTTTGCTCCAGCCTATCCAAAGGATGAAGCACACGGCAAAACTATAAAAATCCCTTCTGTGTGTTGTCCCAGAAGACTTGTCCAAATTATGGTTTGGGTCTGCACAGCAGCGAGGGACACACGTAACTCTGAAACCACCATCTGGAGCCAGATTCATAAACGTTAATTCCTAGCTGTTACCAAGCTCAGTCAGCCATTGTCTATGTCCTCATGCCATTATTTAAGTCTCAATGTTGTACAACTCTAGGGTACACCCTTCATATTTGTGGTCACCATAAATCTGTATGTTATGACAATTTTCTGGCAGGTGACAGTATGGGTTTTGAAGAAAAGGCAGCAAAAGGATTATGTAGACTAGAGGAAGGACCGCACCTTCCAAACCCACATAAAAGCACATTATCAGCCTACAGAAGACCATGGAACTTATGCTTATATTTCCTATGTTCATGTTAACTAAATGTGGTGATGTCACCATAGCTCTATTCAGGGTCCCTAGATTTTGCACTATTGTTATCAAGATGACAGACAACCTTAAATAAGGAAAAACATCAGTAAAATGTGAGACCCCATAAGAACAAAAGTCTATGTTCCAGCAGTGGTCACTTACAGAAATTCTAATGTTAGTCTAGAAAATCTTGAGACATCAATAACCTCCCTCCCAGGCTCATGTTGGCTTCCAAGAGCTCTAGCAAGACTCAGAGTTGACAATAATCTTCCTAGGGGTGGCCACCATAGGCAAAAAGAGGGAGACCCAATCCAGAATCGAAACAGTGCTAAACACAGGATTCAGACATATGCCACAAATCTGGAGCATTTCAGAAGGTGCAATGAAGAACTGGATCACCTGTGAGTATAAGAAATGAGTTTCCATCTGTGCATCATCTAAATAGGTCACATTGAATGACTCCTTGTAGTGATAAAATATTAATGATTTCTCCTCAGTCTCAAAAACTGGACTATATTTTTGATCTTTTTCTTCTAAAGACAGGCAATAATTTACAAAGAGTAAAATTCACCCTTTTAGCGCACAATTTTATGGGTTGAAAAAACTCATAAAATATTGAACTACCACCACACTCAAGATTTTAAATAGTTTCATCACTCCCAAAATTCCCTTGTGCCCCTTTATAGTCGATCCCTAGCCTTACCCTGACAACTACTGATCTGATAAATGCAATACAAATCTCAAAAGTGTCTAGATATTCCCTTAAATATTTACCATATTTCATCTATTCTAAGACACACACACACACACACACACACACACCCCTAGATTTGAACACTGAAATTAGGATGTCTTATAATAAATGACATTTTACCATTATAACTGGCAACAATTTTTCTTCTTAGAGATACATAAAATAATGATGTGTTTTATATTCTATGGTGTCTTTAAAAAATCAATGAAGTATATTAAAGTCATAACATTCATTGAATACTTACTATGTGTTAAGCATTGTGCTAGGCCCTGGAAGTACAAAAATTGAACCACATGGTCCTCAAGGAACTATTACTTGAGAGGGAGAGATAAAGTTATAATATAATGTGGTAATACCTATAGCAGAGGGTTATCCACTCAATAGGACTAAATAAAATTATCTCTAGATAGGTAGGCCACCCTTCTTTTATTGGGCAAAATTCCCCCCAATTCCCATCCTTCCATGTCCACAGGAAATGAGGATAAAGGAAGTATCATTCAGCCTCACTCTGCTCATTTAGGGGTGAGTTATTGCCACACCATCTGACATACCGCCTAGGAACAATCCAATTATTTCTTCCATAATTCACTGTTGTTGGAAGGAAGTCTCATTTTAGTGTTCAACAGCTGCAAGGCTTTTATGATAATATCAAAAGACAAGTCACTGAAAATAACTGTTCAATCTGTGAAAGGCAGTGCCCCAAATTTTTCATAGACATGCTTCAAGGTCCCCAAATTCTTCCCTGTACAACTTTTAAAGAGGAATGTAGAGAAGACAAGTTAGTGTCCTTACCTGGTTCTTGAAAGTGTTCTTCATTTGATAGAGTTCTAGACAAGATGAGTATTAATGCTTCTTTAAATTGGTCAAAATGTACCTAAAAATAAGGAATTAAAAATAAATTCAAAATAGTTTCCACAATCTTAAGGAAACAAATCCATCTACATACAAAGTACCAGAATTATTTTTAGCATCCTGAGAGTCTTGAAGTAAGTCATAACCTGCTTTTGTTCCTTTTTTTTTCTTAATTTCTCTAAAGCACTAAAGGGAAGTGGGCTGATTATTTTTGACATTCCAGTGTCATAAACACTAATATCAATATTTATTCAACCTTGCAGAGAAAAGCTATATAGCAAAGCCTTTTTTATAAACTCAGAAAAAGGAATGTTTTGAATTCTTCTTTTCCTTATCTGAATAAGCCCAGAAAAGAAAGATGTTAGGTTGGGTATTAGGAAAAACTTCCCCCCAAAATGATCCATTGTAATGATATCCCAAAGATGCTTTCATCTCTTAAGATATTCTAGAAAGGAGTAATTTATCTTCTGAGGATGACTTGAATATAGTCTTGCCTGGGGCAGGTATATAATATTTATCTCCCAAGGCCCCTATGATTCTATAAACAAGCAGAAATCAATAGCAAACACAAAGGATAAAAGGACTTTGGAAAGCATTTTCCTGAATTCCTAAAAACACAGTTACCTCAACTAAAGTAGGAAAGAACCTGAGTTTTATTTAAGTAAATACTCAGAATAGAGATATCAATTTGGTTAAAGGGGTAAAATGGATTTCTTTATGGCTGAGTATATTCTTCTATAATGTAAATTTATGTGATCTCACCCTGAGGCAGAAGAGAGAGATGATATTTATTCTCACCATTATTCTAGTTTGATAATGTGGCATCTATTTATACAGAAACCCATATGTAAATACAAAGTTGGTACATTTGTAATTTGTGCTATCTTAGATTTCTTTGGGTATCATAACAAAACATCACCTAGAAGTTTAAATATAGGTAACAGATAAAAAACGCTTTTAAATTAAATTTAGAAAAGCAACAAATCTCAACAGTTACCTAAATCGAGGGGAAAAACTATACAATGTTACCCATGCAAATCAGAGCAAAGAAGAAGAATCCACTGAGATTCCCATGTCATAAGTGTATTCTTGCAACTGATAACACTCTCTCAAAGTACATGTGGTTTCCCTACCATATTAGATTAATTGGAATCACATTCCAAAATCATATTCCTTCAGATCACATAGACTAAAAATTGGCATAATCTACAGGGCCAGAGACAAAATCTGTCAAGGGAGGTGAGGCATCTGCTAAAGAGCCAGGACTGTACAATCAATGAAAGGGTTAAAAGATTGTAGAAAATGTAAGCCGTGCTAATTAGGTTTCACAGATGACAAACTGCTGAGAAGCCTGGGGGAGGGAGGAGGGCTGTGTCCTGCTGTGTCCTAGAGTCAGAGGTGGGTTTCAGGCACTGTGGCATTCCAGCTCCAGTTCCCAGGGGCAAGGCCATCTTCCCAAACAGTTTACAGACAGACACCACTTCCCCTCAGGGGCACTTGCAGGTATTTACTACTTCCTACCAGAATGACGCCTCCCTCTCAGGGAAGGTGGGGAAGGGTTAGGAGCATAGGCTCTGCACTGGAACTACTTGGGTCCAGGTTCTGACCCTGGCTCAGCCACTCACTTCCTTCTGTGAATTGGCTAAATTACTAAACCTCTTCGAGCTTTAGTTTGCTCGTCTGTAAAAAATGGGGCTCTCTAACAACCGATATTTATGATTCATTCAACAAATACTTATTGAGCACCTGCTGTATGCCAGGCACTTTCCTAGGCCCTGGTGATATAGCAGTGAAAGAGAGTGACACAGATCCCTGCTGCCACGGAGCACAAATTCTCAGGAAATGTCACAGGGAATCAGGCAGGTACAGTGCTAAGAGCACTGCATGTATTTTAGGTTATTTATGGTACCACCACTCTCATAGCAGTGTTAAGGAGATAAAATGAGAGTTATATAAAGTACCTAGAGCTTCCTGGCACTTATGAAGTACTCAGCGAGGGGAAGTTAATACTACTAGCAGGTACTGTAACAGAGGTGGCTGTTCCCATCACTTTAACAGAGAAACAGGGTCATATTCTCAAGCAAAGCAACTGGCCATGAGAATAACCAAGGAAGCCAAGTGGGAGTTGTTTGGGGTGGGGTGGGGGGGTGACAGCAGGGTGGCCCAGGAGCCTGCTTTGCCCCCAGGATCTGTGCAGTTGCCCAGCATTGGAGAAACTGATTCTGTCTGCTTTGTTTAGGGACCCTACCTTTAAGTTCCTCCTCTCAGTTAGGATATTAATGGAGATGACCTGAATGAAACTTAAGTCTTTACTTGCCACAATTATGAGTTGAACAAAAAAAGAGGCTCTTATTTCAAAAGGGAGGTGCTTGCCTTGAGACTTCCAAATCTTTTATCCTTGTTTCCATGGGTCTCTGCAGGGTCTTCTAAAGGCATAAATTTTGATAGAGATAACTGGAAAGAGCTATTCTGAGTTTCATCCTAACAGTTCAATTCAGTGAGTATTAGACATGGAAATCACCCAGGGGGTCTCTGTACCTTAGTTTTATTCCCTCTGAAAAGTGACGAAAACAGCTATCACCTGGATGTTAATTTTAATCAACTTCCAAAGCTTTACTGTATGCCACATTCAAGGGATTACTCAGGTCTCATATTAACACACCAACTTTTGAAGACAGTACTATCCTCATTTATGTGGAAGTTGCTTATCTCTCAACCCCGATGGTCTAGAGTCCAAAGCAGAGGAAGGCATAAAGCCCACATGCTCGTCTCACAGAAAATGCTGCAGGCGCAACTCAGGAGTTATAAATTTTCACTCTACCTGATTTATTATAAGCTTCGTTAGCCTGTTTTCCCAACCCTCTACAGATTAGAAGCAGCAAACGAAAGACAAGGGCACTCCAAGGCAAGTGCAAGAAGTAACTATTGACATATTAGGATTGAGGAAAGACATGAACTATCCTCCCTCAAACAGAAATAAAGTATAATTTTTAACACTTTAACAAACTTTTTTAAACTATGAAAAAAGGCATATGCACTCAAAAACTTACTATGTTGGAGTTATTTAGTGTTGGGTCAAGGCTCTATGTACTGCTAAATAAATCCTGAGGGTATCATTCTTATAGAAGGACAAGTGAAAGACCAAGAAGATTTTAAATGATCGAGAACAACCTTATGATGTTTAATAACTCCTTGAATAGGGCAAAATGTTAAAATTTTTTCAATCTCCAATGGTTAACATTTTGTTTTTTAAATCTGACACTAATTGGGGTAAGAGATCCAGTTATTAGAGAATTTTATTGACGTGGATCCTGGATAATACTAGATGGATGGGGATATTAGTGTAGGTTCATTCTCTTCTGGGCATTTGAACTTTTGGCTCTCACGACAGTCATGTGAGATGGTCAAGGCAGGCCCCCTCCTGAAAACTGATGAGAGAGGCTCAGAGAAGGTCTGTGCCTTGCCCAAGGCCACACGTCTTGAAGTGATGGGGTTACTTGGAGAACCCAGGCCTTCTAACTGGACACATTAAAGTCCAGCAGCTCTGCTGCCCCAGGCCTGCTCCACTCCTGGTCTGACCTCTCAAGGTCAAATCCTCACCTTTACACAGACCTACTAGGTATAAAGCCATCCACTAGGGCTTCAGGGAATAAATCAAGAAGATACATAACCTCTGCCCTCAAGGAGTTTATCAGCTGTACTCTAGATTCTAGCGTGTGGGAGGGTGGAATAGGGAAGGAAAGAAGTTTATTAGTAACTACAAGGTAGAATCTGGTTAAGTATTCTGAGTGAGAAAAAACAGGCTTGTAGTGGCCTCTGACAAATGAGCATATCCTACCTGGCCAGCAGGCAAGAAAATGGGGACATTTTGTGACAACTGACTTCTCCAAGATATTCACAGGCAGAGCTTGAAGGTTTCCAAAATGGACTTATATTAAATCCACCATATTTTATACAAAAAAAGGGTCTATAAAAGACTAAACATGATAATTAACTTGGAGGTTCTTCAAAATCCAACGCTGTCTTTCTAGGTAATTCCTTCTTCCCCAACAAAAAAAAGTAAAAATCCAAAAACGAAAACCTGGCAAGCTGATCAAAACAAGTGGAGCAGTACGGGGAGGGCGAAACGGGTAAAGGGGGTCAATTATATGGTAACAGATGGAAAATGGACTTTGGGTGGTGAGCATGCTATAGTGTATACAGATAGTGAATTATAATGCTGTACATGTGATACTTATATATTATTAATTAATGCGACCTCAATTAAAAAAAATATTAGAGGAGGTTTAAGTCTTAATTTGATTTTTATTTTCCTTCTTGTAAGGGCATGTAGACATTGAATCCTCCACTTTAAACAGCAGTAAATTTCACATCTTTCAAGAAGATAGTTCTCTAATAGAGGCAGGTGACTGCTATTTTCCATCAATGCTCATGAATACTGATGTGGCGGAAAAGCCCCTTAGGGCATAACCCAGAACCAAAATGTTAATAAATGCCCTCTATTGTGAAGAAACATGCATCAGTGGGCTCACGGAGTTCAATAACTGGAATCTTTAAGTACTATTTTTCTCCTCCAAGGGAGTTTTACTATTATATTATGCTAAAATTTAGAAATCTTCACAAATATACAATGCAATTAAATCTCACAAGGTAACAAGCTTCCCAGCTGTGCATACCCTGGTTGGTATCTCCTCATTTGAATAATAATTGCTGCCATTCATTTTACAAGCATTCCTATATCTTGTATGCCTCAAAGGCCAGTTTGCAGCAATGGGAAAATTACATGACTGACTGAAAACACACATGACATTTAAACTAAATTAACAGGAAGACTAGTCAAGTCTGATATTTTTTGTCATGTGTCACTACCGCTTAATAGAAATTTACCTCATCACTTTTGCTCTCCAAATTTCATATAAATGTTTTTTTTCTTATGGACACAATTTGTCTTTTTAAAAAAAGAATTTAAGCATCACATAAGAAACAAATGCTATCTAAACCACAAAAGAACCCTGTAACAGG